GAGCAATTCACAGTTTGTTTGGGTTATTTACAATGCTTTTATCTTGAATGCTATATTTACATAACTTTGCTATGAAAGAAAATCGAGTAAGCATTAATTCAAGCGAAATTGCAGGGTTTTTTTCACTTAATATTTCCAAGCTAGGAGTAATGTATTGGGAAGGTCTGATGCCCGAATTTAGATATTTGGCTATGTTAAGTTTTTTTCGAATTTTAATAGTAAAAGAAATTTTTTACTGATAAAAAAAATTCAAGGGAAATTAATTAACGAAGATATCGGAATTTCAGGAAGTACAGCTCAAGACCAATCTAAAGTACAAATTAAATGTTCATTTGGCAATTAATGAATTTTTAATTTATAATAAAAACAAGTAGATGTCTGTTAGCTTTATATTACTGGAACTGTATAGCAATAAATAATGTCAGTTAGCTTCTTTGCATGGAAGTCCATAAAGAAGCTTGAGAAATTTAAACTATATCTCGATTCTAAATTCCGTTGCTAATACATCCCTAAATCTGTCTCCAAATAACATTCCATTCCCGTAAATGTAGCAACGAAAATTGTCATCTAATTTCCGTTTCTAATTCGTTTCTGATCTGTTCCTAATTCATTTGTAACTTCAATAGGATATTTTTTTATCAGTTCCATTTCTAACCTGTTGTTAATTAGGAATGGATCAATTCCTGAAACGCAATTTTGTTATAGGTACAGTTGATAACTAAACCTAGAACAAAAGTATTAAGGAAATGGTTAATTAACGTCAATTCTATATTTTAAAAAATATATAATTGGCTAAATTAAACTTTTATTTATTATCAAAATAATTAGCGCTTATCTAATGGGCATATCCAAAGAAAATTAAACTTTTAAAACCCTAAATAAAAATACATTTAAAAAAAATTCTTATTTAAAACCCACAGACAATATAAATTTGAAAATATATTATTTATAAATATTCTTATATTTAATTTCTTTCAACAGGACAATATAAATTTGAAAATATATTTATTTATAAAATTATTCTTATATTTAATTTTCTTTCACGTTCTTTTTTATTTGAAAGGAAATAATCTTAATTTCATGATAACAGTGGTATCTATGTGAAGAATAGTTTAATTATTTTGTGGTCGTGGGTATAGGCTATGAAAATATTTAATTATTTTTTTCTTATAGACGATTGTCCATAAAAAATTAGTTACCTAATATTTTTCTTTTTTCAACTTTATCATCATAGAAAAGGAATATGTGATATTTGTTTCTTTTCTATACCCTTAGACATAATTGGATTATGGCAATAAAGGTAAAAAAAAGAAAAATTATAAAATAATAAAAATGATAAATATGTAATTGATCTACTAGTGTGAAATATAATATTTCTTTGTCTTCTTTTAAATATATTTATGAGAAATTTCTATAAATAAATATATGTCTATTTTTAATATTTAATCCATTTACACATTGGATAACTAAGAATATACAGAGGAAGAAAAACAATATAAATAGCAAGCATAAAGGAACTGTAGGATATATACCTACATTGTCGAAATAGATGGGTGATCAAGAAGGCCAAGATTAGTGGTCTTCTTTGCACTTAATTAGTATTATCCAATATATTCAAAATAATATTATTATTAGATTAACTAATTAAACATTATATTAATAATATTATTATTAGATTAACTAATTAAACATTATATTAACTAATGGTCTAAAATCATTCGAAGAAAGAGGATCTGGAATGTTATATTTATTATTATATTATATTATCTATTCTTCAGTCATTACTATCAGATGGTTCAGGTATGATGTGCTTGTGCATCATCAATGACCATTCCCTCATCTGTTATGTATATAAAATGAAAATTTCCCATAAAATAATCATAGGTTTGTGCTGTTAGAGAAATATGTCAAGTGCCACGTGAAAGCATTAATTGCCTTTTATCTTATCACAATTATAATTAGTCAAAATGGAAAATTAATGGCCAACATATTACTGATCCAATCTTAATATAATAATAACAGACTTTTAACGTTCACATTTGTGATTAATGTTTTTGACTAAACTATAATAATTAACTATATCTCCATTGCTATCAAACATGTGAAATGAATAGGATAATAATAATAATAATAATAATAATAATAATAATTTACGAATTGGAGAAAGTGAGTAATAATAATAATAATAATAATTTACCAATTAAGTATAAAAATTACGATTAAATCAGTTCAAGAAAGCATTATTATTAATTTAGATATCAACAATATATTTTCAGAACTAATTTCAAAACCTTGTTGTGCTATGTTTCATTATATTTTATTGTTCACATTTCGAACTAATGTTGGTCTATCTGAAATAATTAAATAATACCTCCATACCGGTCACTTAGTCACATATGCTACCAGTAATATAACAATTTCCAACGTCACATTTCATTCCTAGATGCCTATAAAAGGAGGCAAACTTCTTTGATTAGCACATCAGGTGAGAGACGCCATAATAGTTAACAAGAAACCTTCTAAAGTTTCTCTGAGCGAAACAATGAACACCCAAGGAGGAAATTCTCAAGGTGGAGGTAGGCATGGCCGATTCCGGTTCACCGAACCGACGGTTCAAATTTATTAAAATGTTGAACCTTAACCGACCCTTGAACCGTCGGTTTCGATTTTGTCCGGCTTCAACGCGGTTCCGATGAACCAACGGTTTCGTTCACGGTTTCTAGTGATATATGTTTTTTTTTAAAAAAAAAAATCGGTTTTAATGTTACATTTTTCTTTCATACATATTAATATGAGTTTAAAAAATATTAGTAAATTTTATTTTAAATAAATTTTAGAATGCTTATACTCATATAGGAATATTAATAAATTTTAGAATGCTTTATACATCATATAGGAATAAAAATATTATATAATTTTATAAATAAATCAAATAAATTATCACTTTATTTTGGTTTAAATGTGTATTAATTTAAATAACATTATAAGAAAATTTTTGAAAAATTCTTAAAGAATGTAATTTTAAACTTAGCAAAACAATTAACAGGGTAAAAAAAAAAGTTAAAAAAGATAATATTTAAGTTTAGATATATTTCTCTCTTCTTCTTACCATTTTACTTTTAGTATTTTTAACTTTTCAAAGTAAAGTGTATTTTAAAAAAAAAATTCTTAAATAAAAGTATATTCATGTAGTACTTAAATAAAGTATATCATGTAGTATAATATTATTGAGACTTTTAGAGATGTATAAAATAGGCTAAGTGATTATCATTTTGAAAATTTAAAAAAAAAAAATTTCAAGTTCAAACCAGACCGGAACCGCTGGTTCGGGGTCGGTTTCGGGTCATATTTTAACATTCACATGAACCTTAACCGGCCGGTTCCGGTCTAAAATTTTGGACCGCCGGTTCCAATCCGATTCCAGTTCATCTACAGTACGATTCGATTTTGATTCAGTTTCGGTTCAAACCGAACAGGTAGCCATACCTAGGTGGAGGATGGGGTAATATCCAGGGTGGTAACACTCAAGGTGGTGAATGGGGAAATACCCAAGGAGGAAACACTCAAGGTGGAGAAGGAGGATGGGGAAATACCCAGGGTGGAAACACTTAGGGTGGTGGATGGGGCAATACCCAGGATGGAAACACTTAGGGTGGAAGATCAAGAAATACCCAGGGTGGTGGATGGGGCAATACTCAGGGTGAAAATACTCAAGGTGGAGGATGGGGAAACACCCAGGGTGGTGGATGGGGTAATAACCGGGGTGGGAACACCCAAGGTGGTGGATGGGGTCCCCATGAATGTTACGGCCCAGGTGGTGGATGGGGAAATACCCAAGGTGGAAACATTCAAGGTGGTGGACAGGGTAATACCTAGGGAGGAAACACTCAAGGTGGCGGATGGGATCCCTAAGGATGTTACGGCCCATGTCCCTAGGGATGTTACGACTTAAGTGGTGGATGAGGCAATACCCAGGGTGGAAATATGCAAGGCGGTGGTTGGGGAAATGCCCAGGGAGGAAACACCCAAGGTGGTGGATGGGGCAACACCCAGGGTGGAAATATGCAAGGTGGTGGATGGGGAAATGCCCAGGGAGGAAATGGACGCCGGCAATACCCAGGGTGGAAATATGCTATGGTGGTCGTGGTATGGTGGAAAATGCCCAGAGGAATACTGTCATGACTGGTGAGTACCGAAGTGAGGCTAGTCCAATGCACTCAGGCGTTTTATCCCACATCGGCTTTACGCACGAGTCGAAAAGGTTCCCAGGATATACATAAAGGGTGGCAATCTAGAACATGGTAGACGCGTTTTGGGCTCGGTTTTGGGCTAGGAGGTGGTTCTCTGGCCCAGGAACAAAACCGTGCGGGCTTGTGTGTGGCCCAAAGCGGACAATATCTACCATGGGCCGGGTCGTTACAATTTGGTATCAGAGCCAAGCCTCGTCCCTATGGCTGGTGGTGGGCAAACCTCAGCGAGGGCGCTGAGTTCCCAAGGGGGGGAGAGTGTCATGACTGTGGGTACCGAAGGAGGTGGCAGTCCATGCACTCAGGCGTATCCCACATCGGCTACGCACGAGGTAAAGGTCCTATACATAAAGGGTGGCAATCTAGAACATGGTAGACGCGTTTTGGGCTAGGAGGTGGTTCTCTGGCCCAGTTCTCCTGCCCGTTTGGGCTAGGAGGTGGTTCTCTGGCCCAGGAACAAAACCGTGCGGGCTTGTGTGTGGCCCAAAGCGGACAATATCTACCATGGGCCGGGTCGTTACAGAAACACCCAAGGTGGTGGATGGGGAAATATTCAGGGTGAAAACACCCAAGGTAGAGGATGGGGAAATACCCAAGGTGGAAACACTCAAGGTGGTGGATTTGGTAATACTCAGGGAGGAAACACTTAAGGTGGTGGATTTGGTAATACTCAGGGTGGAAACACTCAAAGTGGAGGATGGAGCAATACCCAAGGTGTAAACACCCAGGGTGGAGGATTGGAAAATACCTAGGATGGAAACACACAAGGTGGAAACGCCCAAGGTGGAGGATTTAGTAATACCCTGGGTGGAAACACTCAAGGCGACGGATTTGGAAGTACCCAGGGAGGAAGCAAATCAAGGTGGCAGATTTTGTAATACCCAAAGTGGAAACAATCAAGGCGGTGGATTTGGTAATATCCAGGGTGGAAACACTCAAGAAGGTGGATTTGGTAATACCCAGGGTGGAAACACTCAAGGCAGCGGATTTGGTAATACCCAGGGAGGAAACACTCAAGGCGGCGGATTTGGAAATACCCAAAGAGAAAACACTCAAGGTGGTGGTAGTGGTAATACTCAGGGTGGAAATACTCAAGGTTGAGAGGCATGAAACACTCAAGGTAGTTGCATGAAAGTTTTTTATATTTTAGTTAATTCGATTGGATGGAATAAATGGTGGTGTAACTTTTGTATTAACGGTGAGTATAATTATGAGCGCTATTGCTCCTAATGTAGGACTCCTAATGTGCGAGTCGCAAAATAATATGATTTGTGATGTTCTTTGTATACTTTGCAAAAGTGATCAAAGTGATCTTCAAATTGCGATTTATTCTTAGTGAAAAAAGTTTCATGTTTTAGCACCTCATCAAGTGTATATAACCAAATGTGATATTTTATTATTGGCCTGAATACATAATTCAAGCCTTAAAATTTTCAACTCTAATCTTGTTGCACCCTAAAACTTTGCGATGTCCTATTATGCATCTGAATGTGTAAATTTTGATAATATTATTATACCTTCACACTAATATAAAATATTTTAGGTTTTTTTGCTTTCCCTTTTTAGGTTTTTTGGCTTTTATATGTAAAATATCGACTTAGTATGAAGTTAGTATGACTTTTGGAACAATAATTTTCATAAATTTCAACTTTTTAATGAGTACTTAATTGATCTAATTTTGCAAGTTAAAGTGTTTAATAAAATAATTGTAAAAATTAAAGTGTTTAATAAATGTAGTTTTATAAATTAAGTGTTTAATGGGTCAAAATAAAAGTTGAGTGTACCACAAGATTAAACTGAGAAAGTTTCAAGGGTGAATTTATGTATTCTGCCATTTATTATTATTTTACTGTTGCTAGTTTTTGAACATTACCTATGACATTTCTTTATCAAATATTTTTTTTAACATATTTTTTCGTTTATGATATTACCTTGTTGAAATTGTAAAAAGGATGGTAATTGGATAAATAGGAGAGTAAATAAGCTTAGCTTGAGTTTGATTCAAATTTCAAAACTCAAGCACTAGTTTGAGCTTTGCTTATATTCAATTTGCAACAAAACTTTTAAAAAATTTTGTATTTCATTTACAAGCTCAAAATCGAGCTGGAGCTCATTTATAAGTTTTTTTTATAAGGTCATTTACCATATCGAACTTGTCGATGAATTAGTTTGCGATCTCATTTTAAAGTTTAAGCTCATTAAGTGTACTCACTAAAAAATTTGAATTTAACTTGTTAATTATCAAATGAGTTCAAATTGATTTTTCTTGAGTTGAATTACGAGCAATTCACAGTTTGTTTGGCTTATTTACAATGCTTTTATCTTGAATGTATGTTTATATAACTTTGCTATGAAAGAAATATATAACTTTGCTATGAAAGAAAATCCGTAAGCATTAATTCAAGGGAAATTATCAAGTTTCTTTCCCTTAGTATTTCCAAGCTAGGAGTGATGTATTGGGAAGGTCTGATGCCCAGATTTAGATGTTTGGCTATTTTAAGTTTTTTTCGAATTTTAATAATAAAAGAAATTTTTTACTGATAAAAAAAATTCAAGGGAAATTAATTAATGAAGATATCGGAATTTAAGGAAGCACAGCGCAAGACCAATCCAAAGTACAAATTAAATGTTCATTTGTCAATTAATGAATTTTTATTTTATAATACAAACGAGTAGATGTCAGTTATGTTTATATTACTGGAACTGTATAGCAATAAATAATGTCAGTTAGCTTCTTTGCATGGAAGTCCATAAAGAAGCTTGAGAATTTTAAACTATTTCTCGATTCTAAATTCCGTTCCTAATACATTCCTAAATCTGTCTCCAAATAACATTCCATTCCCGTAAGTGTAGCAACGAAAATTTTCATTCTAATTTCCGTTTCTAATTCGTTTCTGATCTGTTCCTAATTCGTTCGTAACTTCAATAGGATATTTTTTGATCAGTTCCATTTCTAACCTGTTGTTAATTAGGAATGGATCAATTCCTAAAACGCAATTTTGTTATAGGTACAGTTGATAACTAAACCTAGAGCAAAAGTATTAAGGAGATGGTTAATTAACTTCAATTCTATATTTAAAAAAAATATATAATTGGCTAAATTAAACTTTTATTTATTATCAAAATAATTTGCGATTATCTAATGGGCATATCCAAAGATAATTAAACTTTTAAAACCCTAAATAAAACTACATTTAAAAAAAAAATTCTTATTTAAAACCCACAGACAATATAAATTTGAAAATATATTATTTATAAATATTCTTATATTTAATTTCTTTCAAATCTTATTTAAAACCCACAGACATAAAATTTTGAAAATATATTATTTATAATATTCCTTTAATATTAAATTCTTTCTAGTTCTTTAGGAAAGAAAATAATCTAATTTCATGATAAAGTGGTGTCTATGAAAATATTTAATTATTTTTTTCTTATAGACGATTGTCCATAAAAAATTAGTTACCTAATATTTTTCTTTTCTCAACTTTATCATTATAGAAAAGGAATATGTGATATTTGTTTCTTTTCTATCCCTTAGACATAATTGGATTATGGCAATAAAGGTAAAAAAAAAAAATTACAAAATAATAAAAATGATAAATATGTAATTGATCTAATAGTGTGAAATATAATATTTCTTTGTCTTCTTTTAAATATATTTATGAGAAATTTCTATAAATTATTTATGAGAAATTTCTATAAATAAATATATGTCTATTTTTAATTTTTAATCCATTTCTACATTGGATAATTAAGAATATACAGAGAAAGAGAAACAATATAAATAGCTAGTATAAAGTAACTGTACAATATACCTACCCGGTCGAAATAGATGAGTAATGAAGAAGGCCAAGATTAGCGGTCTTCTTTGCACTTAATTAGCATTATCCAATATATTCAAAATAATATTATTATTAGATTAACTAATTAAACATTATATTCAAAAAATCATTTTTCATTAGTTTAGTCTAGTACAAACAAATAAACAATAGGTAGCATTTAATGCTAGCAATTGCTATTTTGCTAAACACCATTTATTTATAAATTGACCACCATCAGTCACCAACCACTTATGTCTACAGCAATCACTATCAGCTGGTATGAATATTAATTATGCAGAAACCATAACACAACTCGTTTACCTGTGTATCTTCATTCTTTCTTTAATTGTTTTTAGCAACTATGTCTCTGCCCATGCTTGTATTAGAATGGTATTAAGTTAAAACTCTCACAACAATGATAACACCAAATTTATCTCCTTATTTTTATTAATAATATTGTGAATTCTTAGAAAATAATAGTGTATTGTTTTAAAACTAGTTAGAGATATTTTGTTTTTATTTTTAAAGTTATTTTAAAAATTTATCTTATTGATTATTGATTATATTTTATCTACAAATAACTACATCAATTTGCTTAATAATACAACAATACAATAACTATATCAAACACTAAGTAAGTTTCATTGAAAAATTTAAATAAATTAATATGATAAAATAAATAACATATTCATATTCCATTTTCTCTCTTTTTTTTAGTCTTTTTATTCTATTTCTACCAAAAAAAATATCAATCCAATTTTCTATAAATTAAAAAATTATAAAAGCACTCTACCCGATATGTTAAAAATAATAAATATGAATACTTTTTTATATTGAGTGAATCTTATAAAGATATTATCGAAAATCCTATTGTTCCCTTATTAACTATAAATAATTGCTAAGATTTTAAAGTCCACTACTATCTAATATTTCTAAGGTTTGTATTATAAAACGTGAATTCATTAATTATCAAATAAATATTTAGAGTTTGGTGACAGTCGAAATGTGCTCCTCAAATTCTAACGTCATCTATGTTATGAAAGCAATATTTCTTTAGAAATATTAGCTGTTTTCTCAATGATTTAATGCTTACTCGACCTTCCTCCATAGCCAGACTTACGTAACATTGATATATATATTATAATAAAATAATTATATATAATAGTAATATATATATAAGTACTATACTATAAGTATATATATATATACATAACTTAATCAAGTCCTTTAATTTTTTTTACTTATTGTTTAAGAAAAGTTCATTAACAAATATCTACCTAATGTCTATTTGTTTGTATTATAAGGCTTGTTTCCGTAAAATGACTTGTAAGAAAATATTTTTCACAATTTTTTCGTTATTTTTGACATTCAGGAAAATAAGTAAACGGAAAATATTTTCCTGGTCAAAGGAAAATTAAGTCATTCTTTAAGGAAAATAACTTCACATTTTCAAAAGAGTAAACATTTTTCGGACATTGACAAACTTTGTAGATCCATATTTTTTTAATCTATTAATCATCATAGTCACTACCACCGGTCACCATTTACCACTGACTACCACCACTAGCTACCACAATCGGCAACCACCACCAGCCACCGGCGGCCACTACCACCCGCGACTTTCATAATATATGGACTTTCATAATATATTATACTATAATAATATACATATATATATATAATATATATATAATATATATATAATACTAAAGGATAGGGGTGACCATGTTGTTGTTTTAATATGATTTCTAACTTTTCTCGCCAAGAAAATAAGGTAAACCCAACTAAATTCTTTCCAAAAGCTTTGATTAGAGTCTTTCCTTAACATTAATCGAGTGAGAAAAGTCGTTTTATAATATTGAAAATCACCTAAATTTCTACATTTAAGATTACTTAATAATTCTGCATTTTTATCTTTTAAGTGAGACGGATCGCCTATAAAATGTAATGAAATAGTAAGAATTAAAGATGACACTGCATCCTGGATTACTTCACCATTTTCATCATATATAGGTTCACCTTCATCATTTACTTGGATTGAGTTTAGTATTTCTAAATGTTGTTGGTTAGTTAGGTGATAATCCCACCAACCTTTAAGTTGACCTGTAAACCCAGCAATTAAAATTTCTGCTATAGCTTTATCAGAAATGATTGACTGGGTTTTATAAGCATTTGCAGCCATAGTCATTTGTTTGCAGCCATAGTCCATTTGTTTGCAAAATACTCTTAATATATTATATTCACTTAAACCATCTATATGTCCAGTCATGAATCGTT